AGCGCGATTGTATTTCAAATCTTAATCTTTTCGGAAATTCCATATCTTGTGAAACTACTTTTAAATACCTAGGCGTGGTGTTTGACAATTTTATGACTTGGAAGGCTCACGTGGACTCTGTGTGTAAAAACGCGGCGTCAAGAGTTAGTATTCTGTGCCGTATTAGAAGTTTCGTCACAAAGGAGGCAGCAACACTTGTTCATAATGTTTTAATTATTCCCTTATTTGATTACTATGACATTGCTTGGAGTAACTTTCTACAGCAAGATATAGATCGACTACAGCGCTTACACAATAGATCTGCACGGATTATTACACGTTGCTCTCGCTCATCTGAAGCAAAAGAGCAGCTGTAATGGCCGAATCTTTCCAGTAGACGCTATTACCACAAGGCTAAACTCGTTTTTCTCTGTCTTCACTCATTAGTTCCTAGTTACTTTTCATCATATTTTACCAGATTTTCAAATATTCACGACTATTCCACAAGGCAAAGTATGAGGCTATCCCTACCAAAAGTAAAATAAAATTTTGGGAAAAGGACCTTTCTTTTTACTGGCGCAGAAATTTTTAATGAACTCCCTTTAAACATTGTGAAGAGTGAAAACATTCCAACGTTCTGCCCAAGAGCAAGACATTTCTTTATATCTTCACTTGATATTTTATCTACTATTTTAGGTCTTAATTGTGTTTTGGCTTTGTAGTCTTAAGCTACTAATGTAGTTTTAAAATCCTGGTCATATATATGACTAATTGAGAATTTTGATGTAATTTATTTTTAAGAAACAGGGCCGTTATGGATACCAGCTTTGAGCTGAATGGGCTACCCTGCGTAAATAAAGTTTTACTTACTTACTTACATTAAACCCACTGGCCGGAGAAACACTGGCTCTGCACAAGAATAAAGTGTTCGAAGCGAGTACAAACCAAACAAGGACTTAAAATTATATCATAAAATAATATAGTTTATTATGAAGGAACTTCACTAAAGGAGCAAGTAATCTAAAATGCGTGAGAAATAATAGTTTCAGCGTGAGCGTGAGATTTAATTTGTTTGCGTGAGTCTTACGCTCAATGCGTGAGACTTGAGAGTACTGCTAACAGCGGAAACCTCATTGCATATGATCGAGATAAAGACGAACGCGCTCCTGGACCTAAGAGCAAACATCTACGTCTTAAAGTCTCTCACTAGAAGTCTTGTAGACTATCTACCGACCGTTTTTGAATTGGAATCCTATTTTCATACAAGATTAGTAAGCCTCCAATGGTTACTTCTAGTTCTTTCAAGTGTACCTTAATTCTACTCTTAATTCTGCTGCTGCTTTCATGTCTATATTGACTTTTCAGACCACCTATCGGTACATTTTAATGGTGGCCACTGCATTAACCCCTTTCGAAAGAGATGGATATCATCGAGATTTTAACCATTTTACCTAAAAAACTTCCTTACAAGATTTATCAACTGTGATCACAAGGTTGAAGTCACACCTGGCACGATATGGTATTCCCTGTCAACTGGTTACAGATAATGGCCCCCAATTTACATCACACGAATTCAAGTCCTTCACAAAGAACTGAGGGATTGAGCACACTACCACATCACCGCACCTAGCAAAGCAAACGGAAAGGTTGAATCGGCTTTGAAGACTGCGAAAAGAATGTTACGCAAGACATCAAAGTCAGAAGAAGACCAGTACCTAGCTCTCCTCAATTTCCGGAACAGACCAACCCAAGGTGTTGCCAGTAGCCCGGCACAGCGTCTTTTGGGAAGAAGGACAAGGAGCCTTTTACCGTCCACAAGATCGCTCCTGGAACCCAGAAACCCACCCGACCTCTATGAAAGGGAACAGCTCCAGCTGAACCAAAAGAGGCAGCAGCACTACTACAATCAGTCATCCCGTGACCTTCCAGCCTTGAACGTTGGCGACACTGTTAGACTGAGGCCCTTTGTGCTTGGCAAACACAGTTGGGACAAGGGTGACCGACAAAGCGATTAGACGAGAGATCCTATGAAGTCCAGTCACACGGGTCCACCTTTAGACGCAATAGGCAGCACCTGGTGAAGAGTCCTTCTGTACCAGTAGCGGATGCACTGCCTTTACCAGATCCACTGCCTGGATCTCAACAGAGTCCAGATACCCAATTGCTCAACACGCGAGCTGCGAACAGCCAGAAAGGCGAGCAAAGACCACCAAGCACTCGTCACCTGTATGTACTCGCTCCGGCCGTGTCAGCAAAGAACCAGTTAGATTCGAGGACTATGTTAAGACTCAACTATTTTTTTAATATCATTCTTTCTGAACGACTGAGACACTTTCAGCGTTATTTCCGTTTAAGAAGCTTGTTTTTTTTTTTGCTACTACCATGCTGGTTGTCTAGCTACATCAATAAACAAAAAAAAAAAACAAAAAAACAGAAAAAAGGAGGAGGATGTGACAATGTTGTAAACCATGACGCCAGTAAGCCTCGCTTTGAATATGATTCAAACGTGTTGTTGTTGAACCGCCATCTTGAAGTTGCTCAATTCACTTCGCTCTCTTCTTCTTCAGCTTAATACACCGATAATAATTGTTACATGGACAACATATGAAACTTTCTATTTAAATTTTCCCGAATGCCATCTGGAGAGAGTAGAATTACTAAACTTTGCTCCAAACCAACCGGAGGTAGATCCGAAAAGTTGTTAGCCCGAGATAGGAGTATCGGTCATGAGAGAGTCGATGGGTTCCTAGAAATGACTTAAGTTAAGTCAAAATAACAAGCTATAAGTATCAGTGTTGCAGTAGCTAAATCGTGATATGTCTTAGAATTCTTACCGTTTGTCGGAAACGACTGGCCAAACCGGTCAATTTATTGATAAACACGCCTCTAAATTTATGGTCTTTTCGGATATTCACTCATATTTACAAGAACGTATTCAGTTCTGAATAGTGACGTAATTTCCTAAAGAAAAAGAAAAGAACAGGTCTGGCCAGCTGGTTGCGACTTACAGAAATCACCCTTATAGTCACCTAGGATTTTTATTAGCTCATACCCTTAGGTAACTAATTTTCTAGGAGATGATCCCTCCAAGCCTTTTTCCAGTGCCCTCACTCAGAAATGATAACTGTAATAATACAACCTTGCAATACTTTGTGTCGTGATACCGGGGGTGTCTCTCTCTTAAACAAACTAACCCCGCAAAGACTTGAAGTGGGATTTATGGCGATCGTTTAGAACCCCCATCACCCTTCCTAAAGTTTTTTAGCCAAACCTCTACGAAATTAGCACAATACTCCATGAGATTAACAGCTTCAGTACAGCGGAAATCCGCTAAAAAACTAGGTTACAAAGGGGTGTCACGAAAACTAAGACCCTCGACGAAGACGAAAGACCTAAGACCCGTCTTAGTTTTCGAGATTACGAAAACAACGACCCCCTAAAATCGAATACGTCGAAATTTAAAGTCAAATTGTAACCGAAACAGGTCGTAACACCCGTTACAAGGCCTTTCAAAGATAGCGACTATTTTGTGACTAGCGACTAAATACAGGAATGGCTCCGACCTGTAATTGGATGATAAAAATAGTCAAAGTTAACAAGTTATATCTTAACTCCTTGTTTGTGAGTATTGTTTAACCGTGTCTCCAAGCGGAACAGTGAAATATCAATGCGAGCGTAAAACACCGATGTGTCAAACATGAAATGATTTCTTACACAACGAAGGGAATGCCTGATTTGTGGAGAGGGCTGTGTGGTCTCCATGATTACCGGTCACGTTATTTGCTCTGTAGGTCTCGGGGGAATCAATGGAGTTTCTCCATTCCGCTGTGGCTAGCAACTGTTCTCCGTCCGCTCGGTCATAATTCAAGGTCAAGGGCGTGTCGCTCCAAAACGCGGTTAACAAGGTGTTTGGGACTATTTTACTGATCGAAATGACAACCCAAAGTTGAATGTTTGAACGAATCTTTATTCTTGAAAGGCAATCGACCACGAACCACAATCAATGACGAAAATAACGATTATTCTGACAGTCAATCAATCTATCGAACGATCGATCATAAACTGAAACAAGAATACAACGAAGTTCTATCAATCTGACGAAAAGCCGCGGAATACATGATCAAAGAATCGCGTGTCAAATACTGGGCTCTAAAGTCTATAACGAGATTAACAATATAAGTAAAACGGAACAAAAGTTTGGAAACAAATTAAAAGAGTTTTGATGACTGATAAACAGCCCATTGTTCTATCTAAATGATGGGCGTTAACTGACTCGCACATTGGCACGAATTTGCCTTTTAAATCTTAAATCTATACAGATCATTGCAATATTTGTTTGTATATTGTCGCCCAACACTGAAAAGCCTGGAAAGGAAAAAACAAAGTTACAAAGGTACTCACATGTCGGTCCCGCTTGTGCCAGAGGTTGAGAAAACGAAAGGGCGAAAGTTTACCAAGGCTATTCAAAACTTACGAAGAACTGATTAAAGAGACGCTAAATTTGCCTTTTATATGCACGTGGTTACGCTGAAAGGTCCGATTACAAAACCAATAGAAATACAGAAAAACACATAAGCATTATAACTATCTGGCTATCTAAGATCATTCTGAAATTAGTGAACTAATCAATAATCAATCAAAAAATGAGCCTTCTGGCTAATGTCCTTAACATGGCTTCCCTGAAATATTCATATTTCACCTATCGTAATTATTAATCTATCAAAGCTCAAGCGTTGACTAAATAAATTTTCCTCACAAAGTTCAGTTCATTTCTTGTCAAGGCTCCTCGGCCAGGAATTACTCCGGTTCTCGTCCCTTGGCGCTGGCATCAACAACACTAGCTTCTGGATTGGTCTCACCGCACTGAGCCAATCCTCTTCCCTCGTTTATCCAAACAGCTATCCGCAAGAGCTATTTGGACTTTACGGACTTGGCCATCAGAGCTAGGGTAAACAGTTGAAACACGAGCAAGTTGCCATGTGCTCCTAGAGAGATTCTCGTCTTTGATCATGACGACGTCATCAACTTGTAAATTTCTCCGATTGCGCGTCCACTTCTGCCGATCCTGGAGACTGAGAAGAAATTCCTTTTTCCAGCGAGTCCAGAACTCGCTCGCCAGGTGTTGGACTCGCCTCCAGCGCTTCCTGAAATAAGCGTCTGATGGCTGGAACGCGCCTGGCGGAGCAAAAACAACCTTTGACTTCATGGTTAGGGGTTAAAGGACTTGTCGAATCTGGATCAGCAAGTTGGTTCACTGTCAAAGGGCGACTATTGACTATTGCTTCGGCTTCACACATCAAGGTTCTAAGAGACTCATCGTCCAGCCGTTTGCCGTTATCCTGCAATAGTGATGAGAGAACGTTACGCACGGATCTAATTTGGCGCTCCCAAGCTCCTCCCATGTGGCTCGCTGCCGGGACGTTCATCTTGAAGGAAAACCAATTGCACTGTTCTTCTAGTAGAGTCGTTTTTAACTTCTCTTGGTCCATCTCAGCTAGCGCTTGGGTAAGTTCTTTACGAGCTCCAACGAAGTTTGTACCCTGGTCACTCCTTAGCTGGCGGATGGGACCACGGCGACTAGTGAATCTCCTCAAGGCATTGATGAAGGAGTCAGTCTCGAGCGAGTAAGCGATCTCGAGGTGTTTAGCTCTCGACGCCAAGCAGGTAAAGAGGACACCATAGCGTTTCAGCTCTGTACGACCATTTTTAACAATGAAGGGCCCAAAGTAATCCACGGCGCAATAAGTGAAAGGTGGTGTGGATTCAAGGCGGTCTTCAGGTAGATCTGACATTCTTTGCTCTTGAACTGAACCGCGGAGTCTCTGGCACTTGACGCAAGACGAAATCAAGTTGGTGACTATCGATGAACCTCCGAGTATCCAAAAACCATTCGAGCGTATTTCATTTAAGGTCATTCCCTTGCCTTGGTGATGTATGCATTGGTGATAATGTTTAGCGACCAGGTGGGTAACATGACTGTCTCGCGGAAGTATGATGGGGAACTTGATGTCATCAACTAGGGTTGCCCGTCTGAGACGTCCACCAACTCGCAAAATTCCGTTAACATCTAGAAATGGATCAAGCTTGTAAAGCGAACTACCTGTTTTCATGCTAGTTTTTCTTTGCCGTGTGAGGACTCTACTTTCTTTGTCTGTGTTTTCTTGCTTCATGTTCCTCAAAGTTGCTATTTCTTCTTTAAAGGCCTTTAACTGTACTGCACGAATTGTTGCGCGCTCTGCGCTTTCCAAGTCTTCGACCTTAACTTCTTGAAGTTCTTCGTTGTTACCACGTTTCTTGGGTACGCGCTCTTTCAGGAATCCGACGTAGCGTCGACAAACGGCAACTGCGCGTTTCGCTCGATACCAGTCAGAAAAATATTCTATTCTCTCTTCAAGGGTTAACTTCTCTGTTAACTTTTCTGTGGCTTCCTGGGCGGTTGCCATGGCGACAGACTTTACTTCTGGATCGCTATCCTGAAGGTTGTGATCTTCGTTGCTGGTAGGCCACTGTGTTTCTTTCTCCCAAAGAAATGGTGGTCCAGTGATCCATCGGGAATCTAGTATCTCTTGTGCTTTCATGCCTCGCGATGCTTCGTCTGCTGGATTCTGTTTTGATTCAATGTACCTCCACTGATCGACAGAG